CGGCGGCAGGTGGCGGGTGTAGAGGTGAAGTGACTAACACATGGATGTGCGTGTTCGCGTAGTTTCGGCGACGTGGAAAAGTGGCGTCGGTGGGGGCGCATATATCACGCCTGTACGAGTATATCACGAGGATTTTACTTATTTGTAGCTGACACTTCTTCTGTCATAGTGCATGTGATTTGAGAAAGAAAAAACAGGACCTCGTGTCCGTATGTCTTGTGCAACTAACTATGATGATCTTACCGTGAACTCGCGAAATCGGTTAGTAGTGGTATGCCAGCATGCATCTATCAACTAAAATGTTTGTGTCTGTGGCATCGATTCACACTGTGGTCGGTCTCATGACCAGGATAGAAAACCTTGTCGTTACTGCCCTAAACTACTTATTCTCGCTTTTCCTGAATCTTCTTGTTCATTATTTTAGTAATCATGCTAACATCTAGCTGCGCTTTTGCAGTGCGTAACATATGTAAACTGGCATGATATTGCTTGTAATAACCAGCGTGCTGCAGTCTCTGCCGCATTTCTATTAACACGTACTAGCATTGGCTGTGTTCGGAGCAATTTCACGCGTAGCTGGGTGTAACGCTTTGTCATTTGCGGCAGTTCGCGGTGGCTGTAGTCGTATTTATTAACGAACAGTTTTTATCTTATTTCGCCAGTATTATAGAGTTGGTTGATGCGTTAGTCGTACGACCGACAGGTAGTGCTATTGCACACCGAGTGGTCGGGTCACCTAACGATCTTCCGCGCTCTCTCCGCTGTCGCTGTAAATATCCGAGTAGCTTTCTTTTTTTTATTTATTTATGACCGATAATTCCTCGTCCATTCGCGAACGCGAGCACTTGCCGAGATAATCATGACGAGTGAAAAAAGGACGCGTCTCTTTCCTGTTTACTGCGGGCAGTACGCAATCAGCAGCGATCGATTTCTGCTATAAACTGTCGCTTTAGCTCCGATTGTACAGCGTTGTGATTATTGATACTCGCGATGGATTGTATCAAGAGCGTATTAAGAATTCTTGAGAGCGTATGACATTCTTAATACGCTCTTGATTGTATTCAGCTAAGGGGAGCTCATTTACAGTTCCTCCTCCCCTTCCTTTGCCCCCTCCTCAGATGCATTAATGTGATAGATATGTATTTACTAGCTGCGGATTGTAGCTCTTATCGTGTGCGCGATTTTAATGCCGTGAGAAAGCGTAAACGTGGTTGTTAAAGTGGGCTCTTGTCGTGTTGCAAATATTTTACATGAAAGCTACGGTTTGTTTGGTCATGAGAACGCCGCGTAAATATATATATATATATATATATATATATATACTATTAGAGGGATTCCTGTAGGAGTTTCCAATTTATTGGCGATGAGAATGTAAAATAAATTTGTTACAAAATTTACGTCTTCGGTGTTGCCTATTTTCCTCGTTTTCGTCGCGTTCTGAACGTTTGAAATCCGATCGAATGCACGCGTGCCGTGCGTGCGAAGCTTCGATTCTTGCTACGAGCCCGCCCGCGCGCGCGCGCTTATCCTCGATGATTCTCCGCACTGAGTCTTGTCCACTGTTTTATTTCTAGGGCTCGCCCAATCACCGGTCGGGCAGGGGGTCGAGAGGGGTTGTCCGAGGGAGGAACAGTGGACACGGCGGTGGCGGTGGAGGATATAGTGGCCAGCGATTTTACCCTGACCGCGAGCGTCGCCACGGTAATGACCGCGAGCGTCACCACGGTAGCGACCGCGAGCGTCACCACGGTAGCGACCGCGAGCGTCACCACGGTAACGACCGCGAGCGTCGCTATGGTAACGACCGCGAGCGTCGCTACGGTAACGACCGCGAGCACAGACCACGCGGACCTGAATGGATCTGATCGCCGGCTGCCGGAGCTGCGGATAGAGGGCGCCGGTATCTCGACGCTCAAGCGTCGTTATTCAACAGACAGGACGAGGCTTGCCGTCGAGAATCTCTCGACGTACGTTTCTTTCTCAGGGCCGAGCCATCGTGGTCACATCCGCGCGTAACAGAAGAGCGTGTCTCCTTCGTAACGGCGCATCACGCGTCAAGTTCAGGGTTCTAACGTTACCTAGCTTCCGAACGACAGACCAACGGTGGCGCATCGTTTGACCACTACCAGATCCAACGGAAATCACTCAGCCAACGTCTTTTATAGATCTTCGCAGTCGGGGAAAAACCGATGGTAATGCGGTACTTCACATAACGCGCACTCACATTTACGAGAGATATCGTCAGCGGGCGACGACAGACCAATAACGCGCGACACGGGATGTGATAGACCACACACGAGACAATCGACTGAACGGTGCTGCCACGCTTGATAATCGTAACCGCGGTGTTAACAGCGTTAATCGTAAACCGCTCTTGAGCGCGGTTCGCGGCCAGTTCGTCCTCACACCGACCATTCAGGGTTGGGACAAACGCCGCTTCCTCGTCAAATCGACGAGCGAGTTTTGGGCAAAACGAGACGGTTGTGTCCCACACAGTTGTGAAATTCTTGTGATTGCCCTTGGCTTTCCCATATTGCTGCATCCTTGCCAGTTAAATTAAAGATTTTGATCAAAACTTGCTATTCCGTGTTTGTCACGTGGTCTTCCTGTAGGATCATAGAGATCGGTAGCATGGCCCGGGTGGCCTTTTACTGAATGAGCTTTACTAGTATTTTAGCCACAGCATGTAATTTATTGATGGCTGAATTCTTATGGCGATTCCATTATTTATTAGTGCCTTAATTATTCTAACACGCTCTAAATGCACAGCTGCAAGGTTGTATAAACTATGGTTTAACCTCTGCTCCTTTAAGCAGCCATGTGTTGAATGAAGTTAAAGCTTCCGTAACGACAATTTATTTTAATTTTTTTTAGAGCAATTGAACAAATATTAAGCAAATATGTGCCAAGTGTATGTTTGAATTTTGTATAGTTTAAGAAATGCATATTTTATTGGCTAAGTTTATTGTAATCTTATTTTACACTATCACTAACCATTATACAGCAGGGTAAATATGTTATGATTTCTTGCAATTGTTTAAGGTTTTACATCTTGATGATTAAGACTACAGCCATGATACCATGAGGTCAGAAGTTATAAAAACAAGTCTTTTTGTTTTTACTTGTTCCTAATAGAACGTGTGTCATCTATAGGTGGTGCTGGCTAATCTTTACTGCCAGCAGGTGGCAGTACTGGTTGTCGTTTGAAGAAACACGTCGTAAATATTAATCGATTATGAATTGATTAATGACAGGTTCCAGTGCGTTCAAGAAAAGCGTTTTGCTGGTATATGGTGCTGGTATATATGGGTATTGCAAAACTGAGGTGCTAAGCATACATGGGCTGGAGATGTGGTGCTTGCATGGTGGTGCCATCCAGTGATAGAAATGGCCAACTTTAGCATGGTAATGTAATTCACATCATGTATAATATATTATCAAGAGTGCATAATAGAGAAGAGTATGACATGGTTTTAACAGCGTTTTGCATAGTTTTCAACTTGTAAATATTCTATCAATATGTGAATAAATATATTCAAACTTTACCTTGTTTTCGTCTATGATTCTCCCTTAAAGGGACAGTAGCCTCTAGGATTTTACTGCATACAACTGTACTTACTGTATAACAAATCGTCTATAACCACATGTATTTGTCACCAGATACTTAATTAATTATTTACACATCAACGCTACGAAATTTGAACGGCGCCATGACACCCGCGACCGTGCTGCCACCCTGAAGAAGTTGCGTATTTGCATTTTTATTTTGCAGGTAAATGACCGAGGGCTAATCACAAAAGTGCAATTATATTTATACCTAAATGCTATTTAACCGAACGATATTCATTTTAGGGCAAATTTATCCATATTATATCTGAAACTATATGTCGTTTAAAAGATATTACAATCCTTTTTGCTTTTTAAATTAATAAATAAGAAATAGCGCACTCGTCTGTAGCCCTTGGCTGGAAGTCCGTTCTTGCGCAATTCGCTCAGATCGATCGAGCTTTGAGTGGCCGCCAACCGTCGTTGTAATCAAACACGGTAGTACGTTTAGTTTTAAAAGCATTTAAAAAATATTTCTAATGGTGATCTGAACCATGAAATTTTTATGTAGCGCAATTATAACCTAACATTAGCTGAAAATAACACCTCGTAACCTAGAGGTTACTGTTCCTCTTAATCATATGGACACCACAATTTAGCTGAAATTGCGTATGTGTTCTTCAAAAAAGTTATTTGAATACGACACGGTTTCGGTACATTTTCAGGCATTGTTAATGCATGTTCCAGGACAACTTTGTTTATGGATTAGTAGTTCTATTGTCTATGACGGCAACTTATGGGGGCCCATATGGGATATATACGGCATCGAATTAGTATTCAGCGTGCACGTTATCCAGCGTCGCCAGAAATCAAATGATGCTCACGGCAGCTAGCTAGCAGCCTGATTCTCTTACGGCCCCAGCGTAGCGTCATAGACAATCGACTAACTAATCCCATAACAAAGTTTGGTCTGGGACCATGTACATGCGTGAAAACTGTAGCGAAACTGTGTCGTATTCAAATAACTTTTTTGAAGAAACATAACGATTTTAGGTAAATTGGTGGTGTCATATGATTAAGCGAGAATCATAGACCGGAAAACAAGGTACAGTCTTGAAATATATTTGTATTCACATATTGCATAGATATTTACGAAGTTGAAAACTAATGCAAAACGCTGTTAAAAACCGTGTCATACTCTTCTCTATTATGCACTCTGATATTAGTGA